TGCAGTTGTTCTTGCGGATGAGGTTCAGGTTACTGTATCTGTGCTTGTGTGCTTGGCCACCCTGCTGTCGCAGTACCGTCGGTGTTGTTGTCTTTCTTGATTTGTCGGGGTCGGTCAGGGCCCGAGACGCCAGCGTTTTGCAGGGCAGCAGGTCACGGGGCACCACGTGAAGCTTCATGCGAGCTGTGCTTGTGTCGTGTGTTCTGGCAATGCCTGATGCATGCAGGCTTCATTTGGGCTTCATTGGGAGCATGACGAAGATGCTACGGGGTTCGCTAACGAGCTGCGAACCGCTGAATTGCTGACAGACAAGTCTGTTGGAATTGACCTGGACTTGGCAAAGAATGTTAGCATGAAGATCTACCCGCTCACGCGCAGCCTCAACCCAGATGACAAGAGCAAGCCTTTTCTTTTCGTCAGGAACCAAACTCGTGTCGTATGGCGGATGGCCATGAACAAGAGACGCGTAGCGGTGATAGGCTCCCCTGGCATCGGGAAGTCCTTCTCCATTTTCTACTTCCTACGTCTCCTCATGGAGGAGAACCAGACCTTCGTCTTCGAGGCACGCAAGTGGGGCAGAGTGTATTTGTTCCAGCCGGGCAGCGGGGCCTACACCGTCGGCAGTATGGGGCTTCAGCCTTGGAGCGCTTCTGACTGCAAAGAGCTGAAGGTCTCTCAGAACCACTACGTGATCGACCCGGATAGGGCTGAGGACGGCAAAGTTGTGTCGGTGTGTGCCAACACAATCATCGCTCCTTCCCCTGACGTCAACCACCTGGGTGAGTTCCGAAAGGCGCGGGGTTTAGTCAAACTTTACATGGCGCCACTAACTCTGGAAGAGACGATGGTTTACGCCCCGTACTTTGGCGTCGATGAGCAACGAGCTACACAGCTTTTTCAAGATTTTGGTGGCGTCCTCCGGAAAGTGATGGCGACAGAAGCTGAGGTCAAGGATCTACGAAAGGAGAGGGAATCAGTAGTAGGGGATAAGGGACTTGTGAGAACGTTTTTCAACTCTGGTGGTGTACTGCATCACAGCCAGGGGGCAAAACCATTGAGCCAAGTGTTTCTCATTGTCCCCTCCGAAGAAGATCCCACGGATTACCGTGTGGAGTTTGCGGGAAGCGGGTCAGAGAATGCCTTGGTCAACAAGTTTCAGACGGAGCTCAAGACCCTGTTGAAACCCCTGCAGCAGGGCTCGCAGCTTCTGGACGGCATCTTCGAATCTTTCGCTCACAACACTCTCAGCAGTGGCGGCAACTCTTTCCACATCCGAATGCTGGGTTCGAGAGCTCCTGTTTTTTCGGCAACCCTAAAGCCGTCCCACAGGCAAAAGGTCAACGGAGGGCTACTCGAGCTCCTCAATACAGCTGCGAGCCAACCGAACACCTACTGCACAGCCAGAAAGAACACGGCAGTCATCGATGGATGCTTTTTTAATGGGACGACCTTGCATGCCTTTCAGATAACAACAGGCAAACGCCACCCGTTCAAGTCGGACAAGATGAATGAGGCGCTTGCCAACATGACCAACCGTCCAACAAGGATCAGACTGTATTGGGTGGTACTTGTAGATTTCTTTGACTTTTCAAGAAAGGCAATGGCAGGTAGTATTCGCGGCATCACAATCGAAGAGACTGTTCTAAGTCTCAGCGATCCAAGAAACCCACTTTCCAAAGAGAACCTCGAACGAAGACTCAACGAGCTTCCGAGCGAGGAGGCCAAGCTTAGAGAAGGACTTACAAGAAGGCTGCAAGGCTGGCAGAGCAAGCCACGGCTTGACTCGATAAAGTCTAAAGACGAGCTCGCAAAGGCTCGCGCACTGGTGACCTTTGAAGAGAGTCACGTCAAGGATTTGTGCAAGAAGCTTGGGATCAAGCAAACCGTGGAATGGCTCGAGCAAGCTGTCAGAAGATGGACAGAACTGTTGGAAGCTCTGAAACCTATGCCCGACGGACCGCGGAAGCCAACAGAAAAAGAGTCCCGCGAAGATGCTGCTGAGTACTTACTTTAAAGTGTGTTTTAGCACCTCAAGACGTTGCTTACATTGTGCAGTTGCAGGCCGGATGATCAAGGCGATGGTGAAGCTGAGGAGGTGTGCGGCTTGCAGCTTTGCCAGTCGTTTCAGCTGCTCCTGAGGAGAATTCTTGAAATGGATCCCACCTAGACCATCCTGAATACTTAGAACACGTATGTTGCTTTGATTCCGATGGACTCAATGGTAGAAGGGTATCTGAGCCTTTCAGAAAACACGGCTTCGTGGCAACACCATGCAACTGGCCTAGCCGGACGCCTTCCGCACTGGTTCTTGCCGCAGGGCTCTCTGTGTGCAGACCTGAAACTAACGCAGCTGTGCAGCGTATGTCAGACTTGCCAGTTGGACCAACGAGCTAGTTCAGGTCCCTCACGACGAAAGCAACACGACAAAGATGTTCTGTATATTTAAGAGAGTATGCAAGGTGGGATGCATGAACCGAGAAAAGACCTACGTGTTGTTTTCTTTGTCGCCCTTTCTGTGTCGCCCCACAACATTCCCATCCATGGAGAAAAACGGAGGCTCGTGGATCGACACCGTCGGTTCGACAAAGTCCACACGAAGGTCACATGTGGGCAATTGCAGCCTCCCACAGCATTTAGACGCTCTTCACACGAAAGCTGTGATGTGGGATTTCCTGTTCCGAACGAAACAAGAAACTGCATGGATTCGAGTCTCTAAATGGAGAAACTCCATCTCTACCGCCGTATCTGCCGGAATCAGGCGGACTCGACCCAATCAGCGGAAGAAACTCCTACCCCTCCAGGCCGCACTATGGCCCAGAAGATTTTGCATGGACTTTGCGGGCACTTTCGGGCGTTCTAAAAGCCAGCCCTGGGCCTCCCAGGCCGCGTTCTGGAGCGAGTTCCGGCCGAAACCGGGGAGAAGGACTTGCCCCACGAACGAAACAGCCAGAGACTACACCATAACATAGCGCAGTTTTGAAACATGGATATAAGAGAGAGGCGCCTTGTTTTATTTTGTCATTCTGGTTGCCGTTTTGTTTTTTTGGAGATTAAGGCCGGGTGGCGGGCCCTTGTTGAAGGGCAACGTGATCTACAACTCCCACCGGAGCCGACTGTCTCGCTTCGTGCCTTTGGCCTGGTTGCTTTCACTTTGTTTTTGTCGTGTTTGTTGGTTTGGCCAAGCCAAAGCGAACAAGGTCAAGTCTGAGTCCGCCTCCAGTTCCGACTTCTCTTCGTCCTCGTCGAGTTCCAGCTAAAAGGCTGGAAGACGACGGCGCACGTTTTCGCTTGCCTATGCCAGCTGGCTGCGAACACAGGCTTTCC